CCATCACACTATAGTATCGTATAATCACAGCACAGTGAGGTATTGTGTAAGTCACCGGTAACTTAAGGACTAAGTCATCAGGGGCTATACACTGTACACCAAAGCAGACTGACATCTCTTCTTTGCTGTTGCCAAGATTGGGAGTATCTGTCAGGACTCTCAGAGAAATGTCCTGCGGCGCTTCGCTGTCAATTGCACCGGGAGGGATCTCAAGTTCAATTCCGAAGGGATCTAGCTGAAGTCTGCCACCTTCAACTCCAACTCTCTTACAACATTCCATCTTGATTGGTTTGACATTTACTTCATCTAGTATGAAAATCATAAGAGATATTTCCATTAAATCCTTTCTGCAAACCCTCTGCAAACAATAGAATACATAATTGTAATTCCAGCAAAATATTAAATATAGGTTATAGAGCACTAAGGAGCAATGTCACTCTGAAGTATCCTTTTCATGTCAGTTATCTTTTAAAAGGCGTCTTTTTCAATTTCTTCTTTAAAACTATTACTTAGTTTAGATTCTACGTTGTGGAAAGATATATGGATTTAGATATACAATCTTTGAGATTTAGCAATTTACATGAATGATGTTATTTTCAACTTAGGATTTAGAACAATTACCTTTTACCGATCTGTCATGAATATATTGTTGTAATACAATGAAATAATAAGATAAAAGAAAAAAAATGTAATTTTTCCTGTTTTTCTGTCTTTTGCCGAACAATACAAAACCTGCTACTTGCTAGAACCACGCATGGTAGGCCTATTTTCACTAAGACACATCTCTGTTGGATACTGGATAGTGTCCACAATTTTATGTATGTATACATGAGCTAGTACTACTATCGCTCTCATGTCGTCGAATCATGAATACATTAAGCATTAACCGGTAAAAAGTATTCAAAAAACGTTATTCTTTTGTTTTGTGTCTCTGCCATGTCTGTGAATGAAATGGACATGAAACAACAGAAAGATCCAGAGAGACGCATTTATTTTCTTTCCTTATTCTCCAAATAAATTTCTGCTGATATTGTTCAAAGCACAACATAAACCTGTTTCATGGGGCAGGCTTTCATCGACAATGTGATCCCCTTCTTCCTCACTGTTCTGGGTGTCTCTCTGTTCTTCATGCACTTGGACCCTTGCTGTGGTTCCAACAAGCTCATCTGTGAGATACAATCAGTCAATAACGGATTCAGAATATAGATCCTTTCCATTTAGGCTTCTAATATAATGATTACAAATTCAATTTTCTTATAAAACAAATAGCAACTTAAAAAGTACACACAATGCATTTGAATATTATAATTTAATTTATATGCGGATGTGAGATCTGTATTTCAAATTTTGATTTGTGACAAACATCTTCAAAATTTATGAATGAATTATGGTATTTACTACAACTAATTAAATATTCATTTGTACAGATATTGTTTGCCTCATCCCAACTATAGGCTCATTCACATATGCCAAGGTCTTTTGCGGTGACTTTTTGTATCGTGTACCCACCTGCTGGGTGTCCAGACAGGTTGGTTATCTGATTGGCAAATATTCCCAGAACTATGTGTTAAATCAGGCTTGCTTTTCATGAATTCAATCCGACTGCGACAGCTTCATCTTTGGTCAAGGTAAATCCAACCTTTAAAGATATTATTTCCCTTTTGCAGCCAACATAAAATTCTGTAGAACTTTGCAGGAATTATGAATATGTCATATATGTCCTATCTGTGAAATTTAAATGTTAGCAGTGTCCTAATATTCAAATTATGCAAGGAAACCTGTTTACTTGTTAGACTTTACTTTCAGAAACTATTGAGTGACTGACTGGCCTTTTTTTCTTCTTTGGTAATAACATATATAAAATGAGCTGTAAAGGGTACATGAGCATTTGTCTACATCAATAACCCACTTTTTGTAATGGCCAAAATCAAACTGATTGAGCATAAAACGTATGACGATTCGGTACAATGGTCTGAAAATCAGACTATTACTTACTGGCTCAATAGCTCTTTAGTCGATTCGACAACTAATAATAAGACATTTCCAACCACACCTTTTTTAAGGGAAGTTCTGAATTAATATTATCTTTCAAATGCCGTTGGGATTTAGCCATTTCATGTTTTTGGCCTGCAAACAAAAAATGGGACATAGTACCTTTGAAGCAAACAATTCTAAATGAAAGCAGACAAATTAGAGAAGCAAACTAGTGAGAGTTTGAACGAAATGAGACAAAAAATAAGAAAATTATATTTGTTTTAGATTTAATTAACTCATATGTCAAAGATTCATAATTTTCTTATGAATTGTCCAAATTATTTCAAACTTCAAGCTTCCATACAAAAAGAACTTATTACAAGGATCAGATTGCCAATTAAATATCTGAACATACATAAATAAATAAATAAATAAAATAATAATAATAATAAAAATAATAATAATAATAATCCTACTATTTAAGGTGACTGTGGATGGAACAGTAGCTTGTGCAACTGATTTATAGCATGTGTTCCAGGCATAAAACTGTAAGGTGTAAGGTGCAGATAAAAGAAACAAAAGTGTGGTAAACCGCTGCAGTGTACCCCGGTATATGTGAACAAGCCTTTATTCATTAAAGGTAATACAAAGTTTTGGTATATATGAATTCGGTTCAAATGAACATATTGGAAGCATATGCGATCCTACAATATTCAGTGGTCGTCGTCGCGGTTGAAATCGAGTCTAAAGTTATGAAATTGTAAATAATAAACTCTTTAAGTTGTGTAGCTCCCTCTCAAGGTCAAGATATTAATTAAGTTATAAAATAATGTTTCTCGACTAAAATTGACCGATTAGCCATTCCCGTTTGGAAATTACATATCACAACTACATATTCTGAGATTTTCATTGTACGGCCGTAGACACCATTTTAAATTTATCAAAATTTACCGGGAGCACCGGTAATTTTTTTATTTTACATTTTTCTGGAACTTAGAAGAAATGTTTCAGGGGCTAAATTTTCTAGTACTTATAATACATCCACAGGGGCATCCCAATATATCAAAATTGTAAAGAATCACTATCCACCAAATAAAATATTATTAACCTTTCCCAAAGCTTTGTATTACCTTTAAGCTCTGTAAGTACAAACATATATACATGTATAATCCCAATAAACTCACCTATTGAAGAAGTTGCGGAGGGTGGGGAGGATGGGGTGGTCTTCCTCTCAGCCTTGAAAGGCATCCTCGTACCCTGCTTAGAGTCTTCATGTGATGCCTGACCTTTATGTTCAACTGTGACCTTTACATTAGGATACATCTCTGAAAGTTTGTGGATGTCAGTTTGAGACAACGGGCTTTCCAGATTTAAGAACTTGAGTTCTCGGATCGAACTCTCTTCCCCTGTGCTCTGTGGTGGATGACTGGTACTCTGAGGAAAGTCAACCTTGCACCTGTCAAATGTCACGACAGTTACTCCTTCAAGTTCATTTGACACAAGATGCATTAGGTCAGCCATGGGTACAACTGCTGATGCACCTTCAAGTTTTAGCTCCCAACCTGAAGATGTTCGGAACCACTTAACAGAGGTAAGTTCTGCACCTCCTAGCCGCACCTTTTCTGCCTCAAAAAACTTCAAACTTGGACTTATCACATGAAATACATGTAGCACATTCAGTAATGTTTCAAATCTGCAGCAATCATCCGTCTGAAATGGTTCAAGATGGATGTTTGTCAGACGTGACAATTTGTACGATTCAATGAATTTGCCTGACTTGTTCGATAGACATCTTCCAAAGCCTGATAACACCAGTGATACAATATTTGGACAGGAGATAGAAATTTGGAGAAACAGGCTGTTTGTAGTTACATCATCTGAATACCTGTCCCTGTATCTTAATTTAAGCTCTCTCAAGGTTGATGATGAATTGACCTCAGGAAAGTGTGCTTGATCGGATGGAGAACGTAGATACTCCATTTGCACATCTAGACTCTTTGCATTTGGAAACAAATTACTTAATTCCAATAGTGTCTCCTGGAGTGTTTCAAAATAAATCAGGGACTTAATGCAAAATGTGATGACAGATATCATAGGCTTAGGCATAGGCTTAGGCATGTGGGTAGATTGATGTGAATCTATCATGTATAAATCAATGGAGAAATGCTTCACTGTCGGACACAACGGAGCCAGTATGGAGATGACCTCTGGGAGGAAATCGGCATCTAATAGTACAAGATGAGTCTCATCACCGGTGCTCATCCACTTGATTACATGTAGCTCCCGTCCAGCATCACCCCTCATAACAGTGTCCTGCCCAGATTTCTCGCCTGAATAAAAAAGACAATTAAACAACCAATTTGTGTGGCCTCCCAATTCACAGGAAAAAACACTATATATCATTATATAATTACTAATAACGATCTTGCAGTGAGGTATTGATATCAAATTGAATAACACAACCATATACTCTACATAGCATATCCTTTTAGTTCACGGGTGGCCAACCCGCGGCCCGCGAGCTCCTTTAGTGCGGCCCGCGGAGCATTGAAAAAGTAATTATAAAAATAGCTCATCAATGAAAGGCGGCCCGCATAGCAGCAATGAAATAGGGTAAAACATTAACACACAGCTATCTCTATTTCCATAATTTGTTTTTATCATTCAGAACATATTGACTCGTGATACATGGTTGATACAAAACTCCTCAAATTCCCTCTCATTACACGTGCATTACATTAACGTCATTAACATCACTCGCCATCTTAATTTTAGTTTGTTATTTCCGCACGCAGGGACGTTTGTAATATACAAATGTTGTGAATCGAGAAATATGTTTGAAATGCCATACTTGTCTTGAAACTTACAACCCTTTTCTCCCGTCATTGAATTTTCTCATGAATCTTAATCGTAAACTTGATAGTCCACTTCCCTTTACGTCGCGTTCAATTGGATGTACAGTGCAATAAAGTTAGGATATTCTTTCTGCTGTGTTCTTCATTAATTTGTTTGACATAAACACCAAAATGGCATCGACTTCGAGAACTGCAAAGAAAAGGAAAGTTTCTGACGAAGGCAGAAACTTCAAATCAGATTGGTCTCTGAAATATTTCTTCCTAGAAGAGAAAGGCAAACCACTTTGCCTCATTTGTCACCAGATTGTGAATGTAATGAAGGTAAACAACATTGCAAGACATTATGACACGCTGCATCGAGCAAATCATGGAGAGTTACAGGATGAGGCTAGAAAACAAAGACTTGACAAATTAGTAACCGGACCGAAACGTCAGCAAGAGTCATTTGTGAAACCAACCATTCTCAAAGAAAAAGCTGTGCTCTCTAGTTTCATCGTCTCCCGAATAATAGCAGAAAAGTGCAAGCCGTTTTCAGATGGGGAATTTGTGAAAGAGTGCATGTTGGCATGCGCTGAGGAACTATGTCCGAAGGAAAAACAAAAGTTCGAAGGTGTCAGTTTGTCCCGCCAAACAGTCACCCGTAGGATCGTTGATATGGGCGATGACAGTAAGGAACAACTCCGAAATGTAGCAGCAAACTTTGAGTATTTTTCTCTTGCACTCGATGAAAGTACGGACATCTCCGATACATCTCAACTGTTGGTGTTTGTTCGAGGAGTAGATGCCGACTTCTCGGTTTATGAAGAGTTGGTGGAAATGCGACCAATGTCAGGCACCACGACCGGATCAGACGTAGCAGCAGAATCAATCAAGGGCGTCGAGAACCTTGGATTGCAGAACTCATGGGGAAAACTCAGTGGAGTTACTACTGATGGTGCCCCTGCCATGGTTGGTGCAAGATCAGGAGCCGTGGCGAAATTGATTGAGCATGCAGATGAACATGGTGAGACTGGAAACGATGGTTTGTTAACGTCTGAACCCCATGAGATAATGCGATATCACTGTATTATTCATCAAGAAGCCCTGTGCCCAAAAGTTCTTGGATTTGAAGAGGTCATGAGTGCTGTTATCAAAGACGTTAACTTCATTCGATCACACGCACTTAACCATCGACAATTTAAGACTGTTCTTGATGAGTTGGATGCCCAGTATTCTGACATTTGTTACTTCACAGAGGTTCGGTGGTTGAGTCGTGGAAGAGTCCTGGAACGTGTCTTTGAGTTGAGGAATGCTATTGCGGAATTCCTACTTAGTAAAGACCGCGAGTGCCTGTTGACCAATCCTGAGTTCGTGTCTGATGTTGGGTACCTAGCTGATATTACTTGTCACCTCAACAGTCTCAACTTGGAACTTCAGGGAAAGGCCAAGAACATTTTGGATATGATTGCCAGTGTCAATGCTTTCACCAACAAGTTGAAGCTACTCAAACGCCAGTTGGCACACGAGGATTTCAGTCATTTCCATTCACTCAAATCTTTGGGAAATGAACGCCGATCGGTGCAGGACTACGTTGCATCAATTGATCGACTCATAGAGCAATTCACTGATCGCTTCGCTGATTTCCGCAGGCATCAATCTGACTTTGACTTGGTATCAAATCCACTTGGATTTGACGTTGATGCTGCACCTAATTGCGTACAACTTGAACTGCTGTCTCTCCAGAGTGATCAATTCATCAAGACAGACTTTCAGTGCCAGGTCAGGAACAGGGATTTACTTCCATTCTTACGTGAACTTCCACGAGAACAATTCCCGAACATTCGAAGACACGCCAAGATAATCTTCTCACTGTTTGGAAGCACATACCTCTGTGAACAAACATTTTCTCTCATGAAACTTACTAAATCAAAACTTCGATCAAGGTTAACTGACGAACACCTTGAAGCATCTCTTCGGCTAAGTACGACGGTTCTGAAGCCTGACTTGCCGAAACTTGTCAATCAAATGCAGCCCCAGAAATCACACTAAAAAGTAAGCCTGGTTTTTTCCACTGATTTTGTTGTTTGCTTGTTTTTTTGTTTTTTGCAAAATTGTGTGTGTGTGTGGGGGGGGGGGGGAGACTACCTACGGCCCGCCAAGTTATGCCAATCGTTAGCTGTGGCCCGCGAGCTTTAAAAGGTTGGCCATCCGTGTTCTAGTTGATAAACACCCAATTCAGTAGACAGTTTTAAATACCAATATAAAAAATCTTCCTTTAATCGATAAAATGTGTTCACTGACGTTTCTCCTCACTATTACAACATTATATGCAATGACTAAAATGATTGCTAACCCAATTACCTAGACATTTCATATACCTACATGCAGGCGCGTACGCAGGATTTTTTCAAGGGGGGGGGGGGGGGAATAATATTTTTAAATCGGGCCGAAAGAGGACTTTTTTTTTTTTTTTTTTTTTTGGGGGGGGGGGGTCTCGAAATTTGAAAAAATGACATTTTGTTCCGTTGGGGGGGGGGGGGGGGGGGTAAGGTCAACTTTTTTAGGTCAGCCATTGGTATAATTTTTATTTGTTGTTATTCAAAAAAAATTACCAAAGGGGGGGGGTTTCCTCAAAAATAACCCTCACCCCCCCCCCCTGCGTATGCGCCTGCCTACATGTACACTACGTTCTTAATTTGATATTTATCTTTTATAATTATGTAATACAAACCATAATCACAAATTATTGGGCTTAATCTCTACGTGAAATGTTTATTAACTTCATTGTTATATATAATTCTAATGTAAAATGTCATAATGTAAATGTCATATTGCATTATTTTATCTTTTTTTCTCCTCTTTTTGTTTTTCCCTTTTCTTATTTTTCCTATTGTGTTGTTTTCGTTTTTTACCATTTGTATAAAGCTGTTGTTTTGTTTGTAACTACTCTTATTGTCAGTTCTTGAATTTGTATTTTCCATCCTTATATGCAAAACCATTATGTAAAACAGCTTGCGAGCTGATCAATGTTATCCTGTTAAAAGATGTTTTAATAAATAAATAAAATAAATAAATAAATTCCAAATAAAATGCTTTAAAAAATGGTAACCTATATTGTTAAAGGTAATTTGGAAAGACTATTTCAACAAGCACCATGAGAAATTTAATCTAACATTGGGGGGGGGGGGGGGGGTTGTCTAGATCAGTACTGGAGTTAAAATACCCCACAAAATATTTTCTTTTTTCTTTTCATCCTGATCTCAACTATATGGCTCCATCAAGCACATGTGATAAGTTAAAAGACTTTATAAAATCTATCCGGATATTATACTGAATTACTGAATGTTGTAGATTGATAGTTCATGTACTCTGTATGTGTGTGTATATACCACAACGGGAATAATAGGAATTAAGTAACTTTGTGACTTGATTCATGCAGGCATATGGTAGCTTAAGTCATGTTATACAGTCTCATAACTTTAACTATAATAGAGTGGTGAAGTGTGACGTCATCAAAAAATCTATTTTTAGAATTTCTCAATTTAGGAGCCAGAGCATATAACACTGAGTTCCTATTGGGAGTATATATATTCAGATGGTCATATCTCAGCCAATACCTAACATATTCAATTGGTTTTCGACATTTGGACATTATTTTTGATGTTCTTTCGGAATATGAAGAAAAAAAATTGAGAAATTCTAAAAATAGATTTTTATGGCGTCACAGCTTCGGTACTCTATACACTGTCGCTCATAAAGGTGGAATATTTTTTTTTATCCCAATTTATGGAATTATTTTAAAAATAATTTCAAAATATTAGATCTAGATAAAAGTAAACGTTCTCAGATTTTATTGAATAATAATTTGCCAATGTGTGTTTTGCGTGACTGCTAAAGCATCTATATGCTACTATGCTTATCAACTAGGGGACCTATGCCCATAAGTCATAAATGACAGTAATGAGGATTAATCCCCCACAAAAGGGCACTAATATAGCACATCGACGCGGTGTTGATCCTGGGGCCTCACAGTTACGAGGCCTTTGCTTTGTCACTGAACCATGACTGTACGCAGCGGGGGCTAGGGTAGGGGGCAGTTTCCATAAATTTAAAAAAACCCAGAAAATGCATTAAATTTTCAATAATTTATTGCATTTTACCCCGGTCCCCAACATAAAAAAATACTCTGGACGGCCATGCATTATGGCTCAAGGCATGGGCATAGGTCCCCTAGTTGATAAACATAGTAGCATATACATGCTTTAGCAGTCACGCAAAACACACATTGGCAAATTATTATTCAATAAAATCTGAGAACGTATACCATTATCTAGATCTAGTATTTTTAAATTATTTTTAAAATAATTCCATAAATTGGGATATAAAAAAAATATTCCACCGTTATGAGCGACAGTGTAATAACATTAATAATAATAATAATAATAATAATAATAATAATAATAAAACAAAAATAATCATAATAATAATAATAATAATAATAATAATAATAATACAAATCATCATCATACAAATAGCAATAACCATATATACAGGGGATATTCAAGGTGCCTAAAAAGTCCTATTAGTACCCTGGCTTTAAAGCACTGGAGCAAATAATAACTTCCTGTAGGGTTTCAATTAACCACAAGAACATCAGATAAGACATGTTCCCTGAAAAGCATGGCTCTTCAAATGCCTTCATATTATAAATATGCATGTAACATCGTAACAATCGGGGGGGGGGGCCGGCTTTTTACGCCATGTGTTCGTGTAGTCCCATATACATCTTTCTGTGTACAGTGTTTGTAACTCTACCAAGACTTGGCCAAATTTCTTATCATTTTGATGATTCCAGAACCTTGCAATACACACAAATTCTTATATGCTAGATGATCAACCTTTTCTGGTCGGTTCCACATTACACCGTTTCTTTCACAATGCAATCGCATGACCAGAACTCAACTTTACTTCATCTTTAAAGCCATAACAATACAATACATGGTTCATGTAATGCTTTTTAAAGGGTTTCAACACCATGATTTTGAATCTTATCTGATATCTTTTCACATACTTTCTCTTCTCTGCATGAAAGATGGATAGGTGAGCCAATCATACACACTCAGTCTTCGAGTGTGAAGTAGAACTCCTTCTAACTCCTTCGACTATGAAATGTAATAGAAAAACATGAAAAGGTCTCATAAGATATTTCTTACTCTCATAATTGATGTGAATTTACATTACAAACAACATTATTTTGTCAACTTTCTCTTGGATTATTCCAAGGCAGATGGGCTAGAACAGTGTTTTTCAACCAAAAGAAAAGCAAAATGGAGATAAAGGACCTGTAAGGCGTAGATGCCTGCCGTGTACGATTTATTGTCCATGACTTTCCTTAATGGGTTCATCTCATATAGCATATGTTTAAATATATGAGTAGGTAGGATACATGAATTTTACACAAATGCATTTCCTACTAGGAGATACATTTCCTTTTGGGATTTTATGAATAACCTCAGGGCTCCCGGGGGGGGGGGGGGTTGGAGGGGAGCCTTCAGGTGCTCCCTAAATGATTTAATATTGGATGACTTGACAAGTATTTTGAGTATAGCACACTTCTTAGTGCCTTTAGAAAGAAAATCATCTCACTATAGTCTGATGCTCTTAAAATTTGTTACATTTGGGCCTTTACAATCAGATTTTGGTGCCCGAGACATATTTGGCCATCTCAACCTCATACCCACAATGCGTCTTTGCATTTTCATATGGAAACAGAGATTTACTGTGCTCCCATTACCGCATAAACTAGTTTCAAGCGGTCCTCTACTTTTGTGAGTAGCGTATCAGGACAATTACCCCCTGGAAAATCAGCCCCCAAGAAAACTTCCCCCACCCCCAAAGACAATAGGGGTTTTTCGTTTGTCACGTCCACATTGTCAACGTCAAAGATGTGACGTCATTTCGCCGATTTGCGCATGCGTCGGGTCGTTTGGCGTTGTCAGGCCAAATTTGCGAACCCGTTCATTACTGATTTGAGGTTAGTCAGAAGACTAGTGCCCCGTCGTAAAAATTACGTCATCTTGCTACATCGCAGCGTAAATCAGAAAAACAGAAAGTGATAGAATGATAAAAACAAAGAATAATATTAGGGAAGATGATAGAAGGAAGAAACAAAGGAAAACATGAGGAAAGACAGAAAGAGAAAGTGATAGAATGATAAAAACAAGGAATAACATAAGAGAAGGTGATAGAAGGAAAAAACAAAGAATAGCATTAGGAAAGACATAAAGAGAAAGTGATAGAATGATAAAAACAAAGAATAACATAAGAGAAGATGAAAGAGGGAAGAAACTAAAAATAACATAAGAAAGACAGAAAGATATGGTTATAGAAGGAAGAAACAAAGAATAACAGAAGGAAAGACAGAAAGAGAAAGTGATAGAATGATAACAAAAAAGAATAACATGAGAGAAGATGATAGAAGGAAGAAGAAAAAAAAGAATAACCTAAGGATAGATAAAAGAGAAGATGAATGATAGAAAAACAAAGAATAACATAAGGACTGGCAGGAAGAAAAGTCAAAATTACATTTGCTCTTCTTTGGAGGTGTTTTGATATGCCTACATTTAGACATATGAAGATACACAGAATCAAGTTTTTCTTTAGCATACCAACAGAATAAATGGACTTGGGCAACAATGATCGATGGCTAAGTTATGCATACAACCCTTGAGTGATTGTAATGTTTCTTTTTTTCTAGATCTGTGAAGCTTGATCATATGAAAAAAGTTGAGGAAGGATTTAAAGGCATTTATAAAGCACGTGATCATGGGATATTGAAGGTATGGGAAATTAGTGTTTTGGAATTATGAACCTTCAGAAGAATATAATTTTGGAAGTAACCCCCATACGATCATATATCTAAACATTGTGCCGGTATCTAGGTACCATAAGAGATCATTGTTTTCCATGGGGAAGACTGACCTTTCTGACAAGGCAGACTACACAAGCAGAACAACGAAATACATGGGTTAGGCAGCAATGATAGATGG